AAATGATCTATTGTAATGTAACTGAGCGACATCTGTACAATTAACTGATCGATGACATGCGTCTAGCATATACTTTAGTCGTAAAACCACACTCTAACTGTGAACACGTAGTATATGAATAAATATATCTTTTACCAGTTCATCCATTAAAAGTAAAGTTATATTCCCTCTCACATTCCACTAATCAACAGATAAAATAAGGACCAATTATTTCACCGTTAAGAAGTCCGCACCAAACGTTTACAGACCAAGGTCTTTGTTTATCCACTTATCGCAGCTACCATGGATTTTCTATTGACCAATGATGCATATTATGACGATTGACTTGGCCACAGTTTGTAAATGTGGCTTCGTCCGTAAACAAAACTTTAGTCAAAAACAGCTCATCACTCTGTAATTTCTGCAGACTTCATTCACAAAAATTTACACGGTTTTGAAAATCATTCCCATGTAATTCTTGGTGAAGTGAAACATGAAAAGCGTGGAATTTATTTAAATGTAATATTCGAAAACACTTCGTTGACTGATGCCACTTTCACGTGCTAGCTGCCTTGTACTAGCATTGGGATTTTATGTTACAGCTGCTAAAATGTTCACTGTATTTCGATCATCAGTTGCTGCCTTGGATCTTCTTCGTATTTTGTTATCTACACGTCCAGTTTCTTGAAAACTCTTAATAACATTCGTAAATGCAGATCGTGAAGGTGTGACACGTTCGGGAAACCGTTCAGCATACAAACGGACTGCATCTCTTACAATTTGGCGACATTCCCCATAAACAAAAACCATATCTACTTTCTCCACTATTGAATAACACATTTCGGAAACGTGAGATACACTTCGCTCGGCAGAGATTCTCATAAACGACTAATCGTAGTATGTACAGATGAAGCGTACAGCGTGAATGAATGTTTATTTTCATTCAACGATCCACAACAAGAGATTACGAGACAGAGATAAAGTAATAATATCAAGAACCAGAGACAGCAAGGAAGTGTTCGACCATTTCCTGAAAGTAAATTATTTTCCATCACAATTGGCTGAACCCAGACCACGAATAACCTTTCCAATAGGTCATTGTATTCATCTTGAAATACTCTATCAGAATGAAAGTAAAAACACAGCGATGTCCTTCATATCTCCTTGACGCCTTCACCTATCGAAAAACTAGTAACAGCGGATGATCAGCCCCTCGATACCAAATAATTTTGACCTGATGCATATTTTCCTATCACCAATAGCAGCCAAGTTATTCAGGTAGCTGGTTTTAAGTGCCTCGCCCTGTATACAGTAGAGACGAGATAATTGCGCGGAACTCGGGACCCCATGTGAACAACTAACGTGGAGGGACCTCATTCCCACCACTCGCAAAAGTTGACCTGAGCCTCCGCAGCTGACAGTGCGCTGTGGTCAGAGTGGCACCGGTATCGGACGATTCGCTCGACGCACGGGCACACAAAGAGGTTGTATCCTCATTTTTTTTTTCAAATTTTTAAATAGTTCCCGGGTTTAAGAACGGCATTTATTTTGTTACGTCCCACCCGTTATAGAAAACGTCCCATATAAGAAATTCCGTTGCAACTGCCGAGACGTTGCCCTGTACTCAGGTTGCGTAGTGTCAGCAAAGACAATATCAGCGTTATACCGTGGAACACCGCCAGGACGTTCAACCTCTCCACTTCCACTAAGTTTTCGAAATTGTATATACACCATCAAACCATTAATTCGTCGCTAATTGTCGTCATACCACGTACCGAACGAACGGCCCGTCGCGTGTAGCACTCGCGTCCGGATAAATAGTCCCGATAATCAGTGTTATAACGACGTTAAAGGTTCATATCTATTCATATTCGAAGATCAGTTAGTCGCATCCTACGTCGGCCGAGCCAAGCCCAATTCTTGATCCTCCTTGATTGAGCGCACACGAAGGAAGGTACGACGTGTACCGAGTATTATTAGATAAGTATATTAGCAAGTAAGCCTTATTGTACCTAAACACCGAGTTCATAATATTTATCGAACGTGTTATAATAAATTCAACCATATATTCATTCACGAATCTAATTACTGTAACAACAAACACATTAACCTAACCGAGTGTAACGCACAGGCTCCAAGGCTTGATACATGAGGCGATCCCGGGAAAGGTACTTTTAGTAAAATAATTCCTTTAATATTATTCTAGTACGCACCTGTCTGCATACTACGCACACAAGACGTAACAATTTAAAACAATTGCAAAATAAATGATTAAAAAATATCTTTTCTTAACTGAACTAATTTTTATTTGGTACTTTTATGTCTCCACTGTAAGTACCCGCAAAGCTCATTTTGATTCGTTTGTTAGGTGAGTAGTTATGATTTATTGAAAATAGGTTCACCCTAAATTTCAGACAGCTGTAAAATCAACTATTTAAAAAACTTTCCGAAATGCTTCGAGATACGTTCATATATCATTAAAGACTACAACATATCCAAAAACAAAATCTGAAATGGTGCTCCAAAAAGTGTCCGATTTCGCGTGGAATGACCCATACAGAATTTAATGCTCTTCAATTTTTCTCTGAAATATTTTTCAATAGGACCAACCGTTTTTATGTTATTAACAAAAAAACCGCTTTTTTTAACCTTCGACCCCCCCCCCCAAAGATGAGTGGGAGGGGAAGCCGGAATCCCATCGACGGTGATTTTTCGGGGTTTCATGAAGAGTCCGTCCTATTTTTACTTTTTGCACAGAGTTCCCAATTTTTGACCTAATACTTCTGGACTATTAAGGACATAATTATAAAATAATGAAGGATACGGTGACATGAAGTCACCTTATTTATGTGTTTATGTACATGGTTATTATATGTTTTGTAAAGCACATTAGTCGTTTCCTCTCAAAACCACCAATCACACATCTGTGAAGAAAAATCAGATCATCAATATGATGATATAGATTTTTAACAATAACTAACGGTATATCGAAAGTCGTTTTCTCACCGTAGCAATAATATATGTTTTCTTTATTTATTACATTCTATAAATCCATTATTCTTGTTCTTTGAATCATGCAGTGCCATGTAATAAAAGTGTAATAGCTTAAAGCTATGTGATTAACAAAATATTTAATACGTATTGATAGAAAACTTAAAATGGTCCGATTAAAACCGTATTTAAACTCATTTTTATGAAGAATGTGTGGTCAATGTGTTAGAAATACTATCAATTACGTAAAATAAAAATGATAGAAAATGTATTTCTGAAATATTGGTTTAACAACCTTGTTACGTTGTGGCGAGCTTGCGGCGATTACAGAAGACTCAACAGCATCACTATTCCGGATCGTTATCCCCTGCCCTTCTTGCAGGACTTCGGAGCCTCCCTGCACGGTGCAAAGGTTTTCTCCAAGGTTGATCTGACCAACGCATATGACTTTAGGCCTCAGGAATGCAGCCCAAACCTTCCAGCGTTTTGTTACCGAGGTCACCGCGGGACTGGATTTTTGTTTAGCTTACATCGACGACTTCTTGGTGGCTTCCAAAAACGAAAAGGAACATGTAGGACATTTGCAAACCTTATTCGAAAGACTGCAGAAGTACGGGTTGGTGGTCAACCTTGGGAAGTGTTAGTTGCGGCATCTAATGTTAAGTTCCTAGGTCATCGCGTAGACGCGAATGGACTGCAGTCCGTGCCGAGCAAGGTGAAGACGATATCTGATTTCTCCAGGCCGACGTTGGTCAGCGCACTCCGTCGTTTCCTTGGGATGATCTATTTTTACAACCGTTTTCTGAGAGAGGCAGCAGTGATGCAGGCTTCATTGCAAGCGGCTGTGTCGGGACCAAGAAGGAAGAATTCGGACCCGGTGACCTGGACCGAGCACACGAAGCAGGCTTTCTCGCACATGAAGAAGGAACTGGAGCAAACTTGTTTGCTGAGTTTCCCCGTCCCGGGCGCTGAAGTGGTGCTACAGACGGACACTTCTAAGGAGGCCATTTGTGCCGCGCTGCAACAGCGGGCGAAGGGGTCCTGCAGGCCCTCAAGTTTTTTTTCTAAGAAGCTTTCATCGACCGAGCAAAATTGCAGTGCGTACGATTGGGAATTGTTGGCGATTTTCAAATCCATTAAACATTTTAGGAATGTACTCGAAGGCAGATCTCTCCACGTGCTGATCGATCACAAGTCACTCATGTACGCTTTCACGAAGAAGCTGGAGCAGTCGTCGTCGAGGCAGACACGAAAGTTGGCGTATATTTCGGAATTTACCACCGACATTCGGCATGTCGCGGGCACCGAAAGTGTGGTAGCAGACACACTCTCGAGGGTGGAGGCCGTCTCACTGCCTGTATCTCTGGACACACAGGACATCGCACGCGAGCATCTAACCGACGAGGAGCTCAAGCTGCTGCTTCAAACTTCATCAACAGTGTTGAGGCTGCATAGGTTCACGCTGACCGGCTCGGATGACACGTTGTATTGCGATGTGTCAGAGAAAGGAATAAGGACCTACATCCCGAAATCGCTGCAAAAGCGTGTTTTTGATTTGGCGCGCCATTTATCACATCCTGGCGCCAAGTCCACCAGGCATTACATTGCCGAGAAATTCGCGTGGCCTTCCATGAATATGGACGTGGCTGATTGGGTCCGTTCATGTCTATACTGCCAGCGCTCGAAAGTACGAAAGCACACCAAACTGACAGCAGAGAAGATAACAGTGCCGGATGGTAGGTTTGACCACGTCCACATCGACATAGTGGGACCACTTCCCTCGTCGCAGAGATGTAGATATCTGCTGACCATGATGGACAGATCTTCACGTTGCCCGGAGGCTGTGCAATAGATGGCGAGGTTTAGTGCTTCCAGAATAATCACCACGAACTGTGGTTCGCAGTTTGAAGCTGCGGTTCTTGCGGCTTTGGTAAAGTTGGTTGGGGCCATGCGCTGTCGCACCACTGCATATCATCCGCAGAGCTAACGGACTCGTGGAACGTTGGCACCAGTCCTTAAAGACATCGATCATGTGTCATGCAACATGGGATTGGATGGCGGTCCTGCCAGTCGTCCTGTGGGGTCTGCGGACAGCGTACAAGGAAGACCTCAGGGCCTCATCGGCCGAGTTGGTTTACGGAGCTACACTCAAAGTTCCGGCGGAGTTTTTAGATTCCGAGGAATTGGACAGCAACCCGCAAATATTCGTTCAAGAGTTCCGTCGGCAGATGCGCGAGATTCGGCCGGTGCCCGTCGCACATCACATTAGGAATAGACCATTCCAATATAAAGATTTATATTCGTGCTCTCACGTGTTTTTGCAAGTAGACTCGTTGAGAGGAGCGTTAGAACAGCCGTATTCTGGACCTCATCGAGTGATCGATCGTATTTCGGATCGCGTGTTTAGGATCGATCTTGACGATAGGAACGAACAGGTTTCTGTCGAAAGACTCAAACCGGCTTACATAGCGGTCGAGTTGGACGACCAACCAGCCGCCTCGCCAGGTGGAGAATGTAGTGAAACCCCGTCACTCCGTAAAGGAGTCATTAAAGTGTACCCGGAGCAAGCGAAAAATACCGCAGACTTTCAATGTTCGTAACGCATGAGTCTGGTTAGTTACAAGGATAGTTGCAAGTTTGTTCAAATATTATAGTATGTACGAGTATATTGTCGAGGAATTATGTTTTTTACATTACAATTTAAAATAATATTATACAGGGTGTCCCAAAAATGTCCTCCGACCCGGAAATGGGGCACTCGGGGGGTAAATTGGAACAACTTTTTCCTTAGCAACAATGTAAACTTAGGCTTCGTTTACGAGATATTAACGAAAAACCGCGACCAATCAGAGCGCGAGTTTGCCAGCAGAGTTCCCGCGCTAGCGGTGGCTACGCGCTACGCTTGCACTACGATGCTCCGAACAAGTAGGTCACCATGCATCGCAGGAAACAGCGTATAATAATAGCAAATAAACAAGACGTAACAAATAAAATCATACTTTTTATCATTTGTCGTTTGTTATTTAAAAAGAATAATGAATGAAACGTAAATGTAGGCAAATTATGTTTAACGTAAAAAGACGAATGCACATTTACATTTTTGTAAATTCCTTTTCAAATAACGTGTGAACGAAAAGGTAATGTAACAAAGAATAAATGAGAAGTGATTGTAGTTCGGTGAAATTAATAAAACAATAATGACCAATAAACTGAATAGAACTCACCCTTACGGAAATTCACCTGCAGCGTAGAAACCTGCGTCAGTAGGTCAGTGTACCGAGCCTGGGCATCGACGGACGAAATGGTTTATGGCAGGGTAGAATCCATGCCACAGGTGATCGCAGGTATGCGACACCAGCCGACGTCACTTGCCGCCGGGTTAATCCATGGAATACGTATTCACTTCACTGCACTGCACTAACACTGATTACTCGACACGATCATTTAATTCACTTTTCACTGAACTTGTTGTTCCTACGTTGTGAACATTGGTGGCCCCGAAAGGGACCGATTTATATTAACTTAATAGGTGTTCGATGTGGCCACCGTCAATGGATGCGCATGTTTGAGCGCGGCGAATAATATTTTGTTGCACACGATCCAGCATTTCTGGTGCGATGTTGACCAGTGCACCGTGGATGCGTGCAACAATATCCTCCGGAGATTCCACCGGCTGACGGTACACCTCATTCTAAAATGATTGTTGTACCACAAATACAAAACGTAACGTACTTTTTTTGGATTTACTTGCATCGCGCACTGTTAGGAGTCGGCGAAAGATTGTTTAAAGAAAGGGATTATTCTGGAATTCAATGATATAGCTACATTCAATGTCAAAACAAACACAATATTACAAATTATATGGTTTTTATATTACTAATAATTTCCGAGATATTTGACGGAATACTAAAAAAAAATACGTATGAAATGTTTTCATGAGAACTACAATTTCACAAAGTTGTAATAAAAGTGTCGATTGTCAATTCTGTTGTGAGTTCACGGTTGCTACGAGGCCGAAGATTTTAAGCCATAAATAACCGAAAATTCCACTCCAGCCTCTACAAGGGTGGTCGTCCAGGGCCAAACAGCGTCAACTGACACGTGTCGGTAAATTTCTTTCCCTGCTCCTCGAGATAGACAATGTACACTGTACTTTCCAACTCGAAGCAAGGGATACGTTGATGGTCCTCTTCATTTCGGACATTTTTAAGCCGATGCACGTGATATCTGTTTTCTATCTCGAAGGAGTAGGTACCCTGGCAATAAATTAACGGGCTACGGCGCCTTGGAGAAACTGCGCGACGGTCCTTTCCTTCCACTTCTGCAAAGCACGTGTTATCCTAGAACCGTTGGTTTCTTTCTACCTAAATCTTGTCATGGTGGGAGTGCACTCACAATGTAACGATGGGAAACTACTTGGGGGTAGAGGAAAAATTCTGTCAGTCGGTTAGCAATCGGGCGACAGAGATGTTCAGTTCACGGGAGTATTACGCAATTTTATGGTGGTACGTACACAATAACGGATATGCGGGTGTTGCTGTTACGTAAAACAGATGTTACGTAAAACATCTGAAAAATTTAAAACAATCAGCCCTTTCCGGGGCCACGAATTTTCCTAACGTAGTTGTTATATCCGGTTAGGAACATTAACTCTTTTCCTCGCACATTTTTACTATATTACTACGCAACACGAAGACCGAGCGAAAATCGTCAAATCAGCGACACGTCAAGCTACGCGCGTAGTCGAGAATCCTCGTAATGTAGGCCGACGAGACGTTGACCGACGGGACGTTGACCGACGGACCGGACGGATCAGCAATATCGATCCGCCACGACGACTCGAGGATTCCCTGACGAACAATAGCTTGTTGCTACCCCGTATCTTCCACGTTCTTCAATAAAAGAAGGGGGAAAAACACTATAAAAGCAATTGTCCAAACCGGGCAAGGAGCTTTTTGGTGATTCGTTCTTGTTAGACGGTGATTCGTCTACCTTTCTTCACGCGTAACGGCGAGCTGAGCGACAGCGGTCACTCAGCTGTTCAGT